AGAGTCTAAAAGCTTACTCAGAGGATCAAAGAAGAACGAAAATAAATCTGAAAATTAATTATATATATATAAATAGATTCGCTCTTAAGTAACCTCTTCTTATATCATCATGATAGATAAATTCAAAGATATATTACGTAAATCTCCATAGGCGCTTCTAGAGAAATAAGCGGGAACAAAACCACGTCATCCACAAACAAAAACGACACCGTATTACTATAGCCTCATACACAACGACGCCGTTTGGTGCATATGTCAACCGTAGAGGGCATTTGGCAAAATAAACCAACGTTGAACAAATTTAAGGGGAAGTATTTGTTATTATAGATAGGGTTCGAAAGAAATAAATCTCTGACTCTCTCACTGGGAGATTCCATTGAAATTCCAAAAGGATTAGAGAGTCACAAGATTCGAATGATCCTTAAACATTGGTAAAAAGATGTCTCACGCAGACTTGGTGGAGATGAATGCAAATAAGCAAACAGACTTAAGATTATATTCATTCCTCCATAGCTTCACCAACTTCTACGATTTCAACTCGCTCCATCAATGGGGTTATTTTGGTGAGAAGAACCTCTGTTTTTTCCAAATAAAACCAAGAAAAATGAAGTGAGAAAAAGTTCAAGCACAGAAAACAGATGACTGAAACTGGAATCAATTTGATATTACAAGTCGAGTGAGCTAAAGCCGAGGCTAGCATTACTGGTTTCTTTGAGCCTTTAGCATGATGTGTTTGATCCAGTAACGAGAGAGATTAGCTTACCGGTTTTCTTGGTGAATGAATAGCCTTTGCTACTGACATAGGTTCTTGGGTTTGGTTCCATGTAGTTCCTGAGATATTCCTTGTTCCCCTGTTTGAAAGTACCGTGTCAAATTATAAGTTTCAAAAGCAATGTAAAAGACAAGAGGTAATGCTAAGAGTTGGATTTGGTGGGGCGATTCACTAAGTCAGCTTAATGTATACCACCAGTTATTAAACAACCCTGAGGCATTGAACAGAGGTTCTAGGATTGCATTAAATCGAATGGAGATGATGTTTTGCATATATCTAGTGGCAATGCAAAGAGTTGGGTTTTGTGGGATTCGAGGGCGATTCAATTGGTCACTATAATTTCTATGATGATAGATTATGAGTTGCACATGCTGACCAAGAGGGAGTTCTGCAGATTAATCAAAGGTACTGGTAAAAGCAAGGTGAAGACAAACCTTTGTGATCACGCAGATGTCCACGTTGCTACCACTACCCAGATCATTGAATATACCCGAGCAAATGGCTTCAGCGACCAGCTTAATTCCTTCATCCCTCTGAATAATTTTTGTAACAAGAAATCAATTAGAGAGAAGAAACAAATGCATATGAAAATTAGAAGATGAATGTTTTCGCTGACTTACAGTTAGACCTTCTTTGTACTTCGCCTCAAACACAGACATAGCAGCAAGAGAACCAGAACCCATTGTAGCGAATGGTAGTATGTCAGTTGAACCGTGTGGGTATATCTGTGTATTAGTCAAATGTCACATGAATAACAACAAACATATAAAATATCTCTTCACAGTAGATAGCATCCGTCGGGAATTCAAAACTTACAGTATGCAGATGAGGCCCAGTGATATCAACTCCACCAAGCACAAGAGCAGCAGAGACGTGACCTTGATAGCTGGAATGAAACTCAGGCAGTTAAGTAATTTATGTTTCATTAAGACAAGGTTCTGGACGAGACAGAACAAAATTACCTGAAAAGGTGTTTTTTGAGAAGAGTCAAAGCAGTGATAACCCGAGAGTCTCGGCCAGTCTGATAACGATGCAACCGCAGCTGTGAGCTGACCATATCTGGACAGCAAGGAAGAAACCAAGATAAGTAAGCATCAAATCTTGTGGAGCAACACATAATGTCAGTTAGATTCGGATTTTTATAGAAGATAAAACAAATATCTGCCACAACAAAGTTAGAGAAGAAATACCAGTGACTGCTTCAGTGTCAGCAGCTGTTCCAGCACCACAGCAATATATGTTTGGTGCCATGTAGTGAATTTTCTCACAGTTCTTATCAGCAACAATGGGCCCCTCAGTTGCTCGGGTATCCGCCCCCAGTATCACACCATCCTATTCAAACCCAAACATTGAAATCAGTATTACATAGCTTCCACAGTAGTAAGAGCACAAGAAAACAAACATCTTCACGCGTTTAATCGCTGCTGTGCTCTAGACTACATGGATAGGCACAGAGCTAATGCAAAGCATCAACACACTGGCACTAGGCAAAACGTACTTGTAGATGAAACTTCCAAATTGATCGATCATGACAGAAAGAAAATGCTTTTTGGTTATACCCGAAAAAGTTTTACAGGATACAACAAAAACTATCACATTAAGGTAGAGCAATCTAATCACTGTGTCTGCAACACTAAAAGGACTCAGTATTAGGCCTCAACTTCTTAACTAATCAACTTCCACAATACTAAAATCAACACATCTCAAGTGTTGACACAGAATTGATAAGTCTCATCTCATTCTTGCTAAGAGTAATCAAAAACAGTTTCCAAGACTAGTAAACGTAAACATTCCATATCAAACTATTACACTAACACAAAAAGCTATCAACTCGAGTGAGGATAGCAACAAAGCCTATACACATAAACAAGAAAGTATGAGAGGAAAAAAGAGAGTAACAGACCTTGAAAATCAAACCGACAATGGTTGTTCCGGTCTTCAAAAAAGAGGGAGCTTTAAGACCCTTTTGTATAAGCATGTCATTTCTCTTACACAGATCGAAGCTGAATCCACCCTTTGGAGGAACATCTATGGCTGATTGCGTCATTTTCCCAAATTGACCAGTCTACAAAAACAAGGAAAAGTAATCTAAAACATCAAACGAATACCCAGAAAAGTTATCCGACGAACCCAGAAAACCGATTTGGGGGTTTTAGGGCTGGATTATGGTTCGTTCAATATCAGAGAAACCGTAAAGGAAATCTAAGAATCATATAGTATATACTAAATCGATGTACGGAAAAACCCCAATAAAAGTGCATCAAATCCCTCGGGTCGAGAACATTAGACACCGGAAAATCGAGTGGAAGTCACCGGAATCGAGAAGAGAGATTTGAAGAGTGAAGCTAAGATACTCAAGTAATTTACCTTGACGAATTTTGCTCGAATTGAAAGAAAAACTGAAGTCGAGGAGAAAGAGCTCAAGCAAGAAGAACTCAAAGACGAAGAGTTTTCTTCTTCCCCAATTAACCTTTTAGAGACACAGAAGGGAACTTAACTCATAGGGGTATTTAGGTCTTTTCACTATTAGAGACTCAACTATTAAGCTTAAATGGGCCCTTTGTCCTTTCTTGTTGAGCCCATCTATCCATAATCTAACTCCAAAGTTTTTAAAGGTTTAAAAAGAATTGCTGAGATAAAATGAAAATACGGAACGAAAGCAAAACCTTAACAACGAGTTTCGTTCAGCATTTGATTATTTAAGTGAAATCCTACAGTATTCATGTAATCAATGGACCAAACTCGATCGGGTTAGTCCATTTATGAATGTTCATCTAATCTTTCACAATGTTCACTAAGGAGACATTGAAAAACATGTATACCAATCATAGAGATTGTACCATACCAAAAAAATCTATTGACTGGCCAATTCAATCTTTGATCAAAGTAATTCAAAATCAGATTCGGTTTAAAACACATCAATGTATGATCAACAATGACATGGCAAACCAAAATGATCATGAAAAAAGGAAAACCACGATACATATTAAATCAGCCCTTGTGCGTCTAGACTGGACTGAACTGTCCATCACACCATCCCGACATCCCTAACCATATAAACAACCTTAACTAGCTAGCAAGCGAGATCAGTGGCACTCTTGACTGCTGCTATATAGTAATGCAATCTCCATAGCGTTACGTTTTCCTGAAGAAAACACAGTTCCATTTGAATTGTTGTTAATAATTTCACTCTAACTAACCGAAAAAGAGAATCTATTTATTATGTATTGTGTCTTACCAACTGATTCAGGTTCACTATAACCACATCAGAGAGATCTTTGCCAGATGATATGTAATGATTTCTTACTATTTCAGCGATCCGATCGAGATTTTTTTCAGGTAACTCCTTGATTGAATTCTGAAGATCTAATTTTTCACCGCAAGTCATAGGCCTGTTTTTCAAAAGAATTAACGACAACAGAATAAGTAACCTACTAAGGGAAGAATGTCTCAATTATAAACAGAAAACTCTTTCTCTGATCAGAAAATAGCACAAAACAGAGAGCTATTAGACCACAATATACCTGCAAGTGGTTACTACTTCGTCAAGGAGGTTCTCGACTTTCTGCTCCATATCCTCTAGCTTTCAAAAGCAAGCGGAAAAAACATAAAACAAAAATTAGAATTTCTCTTAGGACATGCTCTGGGTGTAGCTATATTTAGATCTTTAATCTTCATGCAAGCTAGAGATGATAATGCTATGTAAATTCAAAAGAGAGAGTTCTTCGTTACTTTGGAAAGAAGGACGTTTGAATACTGGGACGTTATTTTCTTGACAAGATCAGGATCAGAGCTCAGAAGTAGTTGTATATCATCTTCCTAAATGAACAAATGCGAGGGAAGAAGGAGAAACATCACGTTAGAGAAAAAATGCTCTGATGGAAACTATCGTATAAGGATAAAAAAGAAACAAAGAACTAAAGACATACTATTGCCCCTCCGAATTCTTCAGGACCAATAGACTTTAGCCTGCTCGGTGAGGATGACGGACTTTTGTTTCCCAACTGTGAGATTAGGTACATGGAGCACACACGTTGCTGCATCTGTAAACAAATTGCATCCTATTGAATACACTTTCACCATACTATTTATAAGCAATATCAGAANTAAAACGTCGAATGTACCTCATCAATTTCTGGAGTTAGGTTCCTCACGCACTGCCTTAACAAGACATTCATATTCTCTTTCTTGTCATTTGACATCCCAGCTCCTATTGGACTCTCTAAAGATCTCTCACCGGATTGTTGATCATGATGCAAGCTCCTCTCATCTTGAGACAACAGCTCAGAAACTTGAGATCTGTAATTACCAAAAGAGTCTGGTCTGATTTTATGGGTTTCAGATGAAGGAGGCGCTTCTGCTACTCTTTTAGGCATAGCTTCGATAGACACTGCACTAGAGACGAATAGAGCTCAAATCAATGGAAGCAAACAATGTAAGAACACATCGAGCAAAATTCAATTCTGATAACACTTAGCCAAGCAGTGAATCAAAATTCAGAGAAACAGATAGAGAAAATTACTCAATCTCTTGTTCAGAAACCCTGAAGTTTCGATTACACAATTTTTTCGAATCCGAAATTTCACAAAAAAAAAAAGTACTCTTAAGTTCTGGGATTTGTGATTCTGCTTTCTCTGTAATGTCGGAAGAAGAAAAGAGTCGGATTTGAACACGAAACAAGTGAGAAAATAGCGAACAATTCGAGGCATCGGTATCTCAGAAACAATATGATATATGATCGAAACGACGCTCCGGAACAAACTAAAGCTCTGTTTACATGGAGACGAGGACTCACCGTGAAATTTCGGCGCCGGAGATTACTGTCGCTGACACTTCCTGCTAATTGGAATCGACGGTGAAGACGAAAAGGTTAAAAACGTGAAGGTTGAAAAATCGATTACACAAGCAAATTAAATTAGATTTAGACTGCATGCCGTTTTGATGTCTTATGTTAGTGGAACACGTGTGTGGTGGGCCACAATAAAGCTTATGTCAGTAATGGTATAATTTGAAACATTTAATTGTTTTTTTTTACGTAGATAAAGCTTTCGCTGGGCCTTCCAAATGAAAGTATTGTAGGGCCTCATATTTTGGGCTCAGTTTAACTAAAATTTTATGTTCTTTTCTAATGAATTTTTGTTTTTGCTAAATTGTTAATATCATTGATGAAAATGAAAAGTTCAAGAATTATAAGTTGTTACTACCTTCTTGATGGTTAGTTTTGATGGTCAGATTTGATAGTGGTATTAGTTGTCTTATTATAAATAACTTAGATTTGGAAGTGGAGTTCACGGAACACCG